CTTCAGGCAGAGAACTAATATGGAACTGGATATGGCTGACACCTTAGCTCTCAGCCACTCCCCACTTTGTAATAGTTGGTGATTATTTGGGGTGCTCATTTTACTGTCGTTTCCCAATTCTGCTTTCATCCCAGTTCTTCCCTCATTCTTGTCTCCTTGTCCACTACCCCAGGCACAGAGCTCTCCGATTTGTCAATGACTCCCCACCCCCATGCAAAGGTAGTGAGGTTGGAGATCCAATAGGAAAACACTGCTTACTTGGAACAGGCTAGAGAAAAATCTGCTTATCAAAGGACACCACTAAGAGAGTGAAAAAGCAAGCCAAAGGCTGGGAGAAGATATTTCATAACACACATAGCTGACAAAGAACTCATATCCATAATACAGAACTACAACTAGGAGAAAAAAAATGACATACGATGTATTAAAAAATGGGGAAAATAACTGAACAGGGACTTCACATAAGAGGAGATCCATGTAGCCAATAAACATATGAAATAGTGCTCCATATCACTGGTTGTGCGGAAAAGGAAATCTAAAAACGAGTTAGCAATAACGAATGACAAGTGTTGCTAAGAATGTGAAACAACTGGAACTCTCATGTACTGCTGGCAAAAATATAAACTGGAACAACCATTTCAGAAAATTGTTGGGCAGCATCTACTAAAACTAATCAAATGTATACCCTAGTAATTTGACTTCTAAAGACGCACCCAAGAGAAATGAGCGCCGTGTCCACCAAAGGGCATATACAAGAATTTTCACTGCATTCTATTCACTGCATTCTGAAAACAATAAAAATATCCATCCACAGAAGAAGAATGAATGAATAAATAAAATGTAATATAATCATATAATGGAAAACTATTCAGCAATTAAAAAGGACTGTTATGTGTAAAGTTCATAAACACATTGGTGAACAAAATGAGGCAGATACAAAAGAATACATGTTAAATGATTCCATTTACATGAAGTTCAGGAACAAATAAAATTAAACTACGGTGACAGAGGTCAGAATAACAGTCAACTTTGGGGTGGACTGCTTGGGATGGCAAATGATAGAACTTGTGGTAGTGATAATGTTCTATGTCTTAATATGAGTGATGGTCATACAAGTGTGTATATATATTTTTAAATATGTTTTCTTTTAACTGATTTTAGAGAGGGAGGAAGGGAAAGGGGGAGAAAGAGAAAGAAATATCGATTGGCTGCCTCCTGCACACTCCCTATTAGGGATGGAGCCTGCAACCCACCCTGACAGGGAATCAAACTGGCGATATTTTGGTGCATGGGACGACACTCAACCGAGTCACACTGGCCAGGGCAGGTGTGTATATTTTTTAAAAGTGAGCTATACAGTTCAGATTTATATTGTAGATAAATAATACCTCACTGAGAAATTTACATATTTTATATATATAAATGTTACATGTGTATATACATGCATGTATACTTATGTATATACAAGTTATATGAATGTCTATGTGCATATATATATATATAAGCATACATGCATATATAAATATATGTGTGTATACATATATGTATTCATGTAGAAACAGAGGAAACCCAGCTCACCTGGGGCCCAGCTGTTAAGGACATTGCTGTCATTATCTGACCTCTTTTATTCGGGTCTTGAGGAACGGTTAAGCCTCAGGAGCTGAAGGTAAAGAAACAAGCATTAGTAACAGTAACTCTACTGACCATAACTCCTGCACACATCTGATCCACCCTGTTTTGAGGCTATATCAACTGTTACTCATCAGTTATTGCCTTGTGTCAGTGACAATACACATCTCACAGTGACCAGACAGCAGACATGCTGCTAAACTCATGGAGGGTTTAAGTCCAAGGGTAACCAAAGCAGTGATTCAGATTGAGTAAATGGGTACCCCTTGTAGTAGCTGTGTCCTCCAATTCTCTTAAATGATGATATTGTCATCATATCTTTGTAATAAATGTCCCTTGCAGTGGATACTTAATAATATTGACATATTAAACAAAATAACTTAAGCAAAAAGGTCTGATCCATATTGTTGACCTAAAAGTAGAATGGCAGCATTGGCCACCCTATAGCGGTTCTCAACCTGTGGGTCGCAACCATCAGAAAACACATATAGCATATCAGATATTTCCATTACGATTCATAACAGTAGCAAAATTACAGTTATGAAGTAGCAACGAAAATAATTTGATGGTTGGTGGTCACCACAACATGAGGAACTGTATTAAAGGGTCTTGGCATTAGGAAGGTTGAGAACCACTGCTACAGAACATTCCCTTCCACTTCTTCTTATGGAGAAAAGCACAGCTAGGGAGCTGAAGCACAAACAAAAACCCAATGGGGAGCGAATCACAACCCAATCAATACACTGCACTAACAGGACCAACGGCTTAATCCCATTGATCACCAACCTCAACAGTTAGGTTAAGACAATGAGGAAACGTTAAGTGGATGTAATGACAAGAGAAATAACGGATGTTATTTCTTGGTCCAGAAATCTTTCCCTATCTCCAATACTGTACATAGGTAATTCCATGCCAAACACTGGACACACTGGACATTAGGTGCTTGATGGATATGACTCGTCATGAGATTTTTGGGTGTTTTTTTTTTGGGGGGGGGGGGAATTAAAAATTAAAATGAGCAAACCCAGC